GGGGGATATTCTATTCAGAGAGACAAGATGCACTGTGTCATCAAGGCAGAAGAGCATGGAGTACTACAGGGACTCAGAAACAGTCTGATGTGTGCAGTCCAGAGGGAAGAAAGTGAAAAAAAAATCCTTTGAGATATCTTTAAAGAAGCACAGGTCAGGAGAGGGGCTACAGCAAAGGGGGTGTGCCGCTGAGAGAGAGTGGCCTCAGTCTGAATCCACCCAAGAAAAATGGGAATCCACAGTCCAGGCTCGGGGCGGAGCCACAGGTGGACAATTACTAAGAAGAAACATTGGGGATAAAATCTGCCTAACAGGAGTCTTACTGAAGGCAAGCCAGGGGAAAGAGATTTTACCTGGGGAGTGTGGAAAAAGGTGAGGATCCCAATTAGACCTGGTTGGTGACGAGACATGGAGGAGGGTTCTGGCTAAACAGACTTGGTAGGGTTCTTGCTAAAATTAGACTATAAAGAGACAAGCAGGGAAGCGGAGAATGTAGGGCCAACCCGAGACAGAGCTCTGCAGAGCGAAGCTGGGCTTTGAGATGGGAGAGAATTTCAGTGTTCTGGCTAGTTTCTTGTCAACTTGACATAAACTGGAGTCAACAGGGAGGGGGGAACCACAATAAGAAAAGGCCTCCATCAGCTTGGCCTGTAGGCAAGTCTGTAGGGCATTTTCTTGATTAATGATTGACATGTGAGAGGCCAACCCACTGATGGCGATGCCACCCCTAGGTACGTGGTCCCTGGAGGTCTAAGAAAGGGAGCTCAACATGAGCCTGGCAGCAAGCCAATAAGCCAGCTTTCCTCCAGAGCCTCTGCTACAAGTTCCCTTCATGAAAGAATGTAAGATGTAAAATGATGAAATCTTTTCCTTCCAGAAGTAGGTTTGGGTCAGTATTTATCACAGCAACAGAAAGTAACTACTCTATTTATGCAGAAAGAACTGGATGGTGTGAGAAAGAGAGCAAGGGATGGGACTCACAAATCTGAATTGTCAGTCCAGGGTGATGGGACATGAATGGATATACCCCTTTAAGACTCTGCTTAAAATTATGTATTCAAACTCTCCTCCAATGGGAGCACAGATAGAAAACCTGGGACAAGGATACAAGGCAATCTTCCCGAAATAAGACAGGTAGACTCACAACAAAGAAGTCATTGGCTGCTGCAGTTCTTGATGTGTGTCATGGAGGAGACAGGAAATGAGTACTGAATGATCTAGTGAGATAAACGTGGCCTGGATGGTCCAAGATGGAAGCTCCAGGAAGCATGACATCAGATGGCAATGGATACTGAGTGTGAGAAGCTAAGGGGGGTGGGGGTTTAATAGGTGAGTCAGACAAAGGCCGAGGGGATGTGAAGCACATTTGGGAGATGCAAGAACACAGGGCATCGGTGGAAGTGAGACCCCACAGTGCTCTATGGGGACAGTGAAACAATGACTACACACAATTAGTTCTAAAGTTCCTAGCAGCCCAAAGAAAAAGGAACAGCATGCACTCTTAGAAACAATGCTTGCCACGAAATCAAAGTGAACACATGGTTAAGAAGCTCGCAGTTTCTGGTCCTGAAACCTAATGGAAACATCTCATATGTGTGCTGATAAAACAGATGTGATCTTAAAATTATTTTCTGCTTTACATATTCCTCAACACAGACTAATAACTACAAAACGACCACGTAACTAGAGAACTTTCAGTCTACGAGGAACCAAAGATCCTTCACTCATGTGAGCAGTTCTTGGGTGGTTTTGCATAATCTGGAAGTAAATTTTAGAACAGAATACTGAGTGGGCTGCATGATTTAAGGCATTTTCATAAATGAGTCCAAATGGGGGAGCTGAGAGGAGCCTCAACTGAACTATATCGGTCTAACAAAAACTCGGTGGCTCGATTTCTGGATGTCGGGACATGTGCCTGGAGCTGGGGACAGATTCGTGAAGAGACGTGAGCTCTGCCCACGAAGTGGTTGCAGGCACTGGAGGAGGCAGGCGCACAGACAGCTCTGTAAATGTGTTGTGCTGGCTAGGGTGCTGGGGGAGCCTCCTCCTCAGCGGATTGCAGGGCAGGTGCTGTGGAGTCCTCTCCTATCATTTCTCCCTGTTTTCCAGTTGTTTGTTGGTTTGTCTTTTTTGTTTTGTGAGGGGCGTGCTTGTGTTTGCGTGCGCGCTCATGTGTGCAGTGGAGGATGTGGGTGGGGCGCGGGGGTGGGGGGGCACTTGGCTTGTGTTCACAAGTGTGCTCATGTGTGTGGGATCCAGAGGACACCTCAGAATGTATCTGCCATTTTACTCTTTTGTTGTTGTTGTTGAGACAGGGTCTCTCCCTAGCCTGAAACTCACCAAGCAACCTAGGCTGGCTGTCCAGCAAGCCTCGGAGAAGGGCTTGTCTCCAGTGCCTGGCACTGAAGTACAAGCACTCATCACCATGCAAGGCTCTTTGCGATGCTGATCTGGGGCTCCAAGTCAGGTCTTCGAGCCTCCAAGGCACACACTTTTCCCACTGAGCCACCTCCTCAGCCTCCTTTCTGTTGTTACCTCAATGATGCAGACCGACCCAGGGCCTTGTTGGATCAATATCCCTAGCACTTTCTTTCCCATATCATAGTCTCATTTCTTGTAACCTAGATGAGCCTTGAGTTTGTGATCCTCCTGCCTCCACGTTCCGAATGTTAACATTTCAGGGGTGTGCCACCACACCGGGTATTTAAGTCTCTTTCAGAGAAATGCTGACGCTGAGTTGGTGTTTGATTTCCGTACCCCATTTCCCACGCTCTGTTCTACCTGATCAGTAGCTGGAATGTGAGGTGTGAGAAGGACACCGGGGTCACAAAACTGAATTGAAATGCACACAAGATTTCCTCAAGGAAACCAGGCCCCAGGCTTTCGATGCTGTGAGCTGGCGCTGGGTTTGCAGTGACGCATGATCTGTGTTTTCTGGCAGGCCGGTGTCGGGCGGTTCTCGAACCTCTTCCGGATCATGTGAGTCTGCTCTCTTCCTTAACTGTCAGTCTCTGATCTTTACAAAGTAAGTGTTGTTGCTTGGGCTTCTTTTTTCTGTCGCCCGATGAATGTAAGAAACAATTGTTCCAAGCGGCATGAGACTCTTTTGGTAAGGAAAATCGCATTTCGGTCCGTGTTCCAAATCTCACGGTCATTGCTAAAGCAGATAAAGGAGAAAATGCTAACGCATAGTGCTGGTAAGTGTGTCCCGAGACAGGTGCTTTACAATATATACATGGTGAAATTTTAAATTGAAACTCTTTGGAAGGTAATCTCATGACACAACTCACAGAACAATAAAAAAACACCACAGTGGGCTGTCACACTTCAGCTTTTGTTTTTTGTTTTGTTTCGTTTTTTTTTTTTTTTTTTTTGCTAGAACTCCATGTTTGAGAGTTTAAAAGAAAGAAACAGCATACATTTCAGACCAATATCTCACCAAACTCACTGATATTTTGTAGCATAGTTTCTATAGCAGCATGTTGAAAAATCACACTAAACATTTGATAATGTAAAAATTGTTGCACACGTGAGCATTTTGTGAAGCTACTGGAAGCACCAGCCAGAATTTAACAACTAAAGGAAAAGATGAAAATGTATAACATGAACCCAAATATCAAATATTATAAATAATTATGTTAAATTATGTATCCATGCAATTTACATGTTATACAGCTATAGATGATATCTGAAAAATTAGCTTGTCATTATTTGATGTATGCCTTTAAATTTTTAATTAAAACTATGGAACTTTACCCACAAACACACATGTACACACACACACACACACACACACACACACACACACACAGATTTGCTTTTACAGAAGTGGCTCCTGGGTAAAGACTATCAGACCCGAAGTTAGGGATTCCTGAGAGATACCTGTAATGGATAGTGTGAGACAGGTGTGACCCGTTCTATTTAGAACCAAGCCCCCTCAGTCAATAGAAAAAGCACGCTGTTTGTAGTCACTCCGGTAGCCAGTGAGTCAGAAGTCCGTGCACGTTCTCTTGTCCCTAGGTGACAGCTGCCATCATTCTGCTTCCTGCCACCTCTTGTCCCCATGCACACTAGCCAAGGATGAAACGACAGGGTGACTTCAGCTCATGTGATGAGTGCTTCTGTCAGGTCCCAGGCTTTTCCTGGAAAATGCTCAAAGTAGCTCACAGGACACAAAAGGTGCCCTTTAGCACTGTCCTTCCCCATTGCCCCCCAGGGACTCCCTCCCTGCACATCCCCCCCAAAAAAAAACTCATTTCCAGGTGTGACTCAAGTGCATGCCCACACTTCCTGTACTGTGTGGGTCAGAAACCTCTCTCGTTCATTCATAGTTTCTCTGAGCTCAGAGCACTTGGCTATGCTTCACTGGAGGCATAAACCAGAGAGAAGTTGTCTAATGTCTTGGGCCCTTGTCATGGGACAGATGCCAAGAATCTTTATGTGTTCACTCAGCCTCCCACCACATAAGCCAGTTTAATCACCTCCATCTGCATCAGGGAAATGAAGCAGCCTCCCTGTGGTCACAATGTGGCCTCTATAACTTAGGTCTAGGACATAGTGGTAGCACACCCATTCTGTGACCAATACTCTCCCAACCAAGAAGTCCCATCTCAGCCCACTTTTTCTCTGAAGACCTGACAAGAAGGCCAACTTCATGGTGGTGATGCCTGTTCTCTGATGGATAGTTCCAATGGCACCATGGAGCTCTTTACCTGGTGATTTAGCCCCCTCTCCTGTGGGTGAGCAGGTGCTGGTCTTCCACCCTGCTCCAGCTTGGGCATCATAAGATCTGTTAAACCTGATCTTGATACCTGGCCTGAGTCCTCAGCTCACACACAGCCTGATTGGACTTTCTTTATGGAGCCCTTGCTAGGGGTGTGGACTAACACACTGAAAGGTGAAACTATTGACTCATCCTGTCTTCCAGCTTCTCTGTGGAGAACACAGCTAACCAAGCCATACTCTGTACCCTTGCTGTGAGCCAGATGGAAACCCAGAGATTCTTCCCCAGATGGTCCTAGCAAGCATCTCCTGCCCTGTTGCCCACCTAGAAACCGGGCTCTGCCAAGACTCCTCTCTACCTTTCCAGAGAGGAAAGAGAATCTGATGGCACGGCCTGTTCTTCCCCCTATCTCCAACTTTCTCTGACACTGCCAATCAGAGCAGCAGTGGGAACCCTGGCTGATGGCTTTTGTGCATGAATAGTCTTACTTCTGCATGCCCATTTGATAAACATGTATAGCTGTAATTAATTACTCTACTCACCCATAGGAGTGTGCGTCTGGCCATCTAACCCAAAAGTAAATTAAACTGAACCCTAATAACTAGACAAATTACAACATAAATATTTTAACTCACACCCTTAGGAATAATTAGATCCTCAGCCTTATTAAAATCTACGGCATTATTTACCAATCATATATTACAAATCTACTATAGAAAGCCACAAATACAGTCAAGGCTATAAAGCACCAACTTCAACTTTACACTGTTGGGTTTTTTTTTAAACCTTTGACTATAAAATATTAAGAGTCAAAAAAGGAGTTCTAGGGCTGCCCCATCTGTGAAACAGAATTCTCTCTGCAGAGTAAGGATCCATGCCCAAGCTAATACTGTCCATTCACCTTTGTGCTGACTACCCTGTGGTCCACCTATGGATGGCCCGTACTCTCGGCCCTTCATCTTGAGATATAAAATAAATTTTAACTCAGGTTCTGGGTCAGGTGGAGGTGTTGGAAGGATTCAGCCCACCTACAACCTGTGTGGCTTTGAGAAGTCACCAGCGTCAGTCTATATTTGTAAAATGAAGATAGGATTTCCTCGTTTTGAGGCACCACAAGAGGGATGTGCATGAAAACAGATGTCTCTAAGTCCTCTTGAGTTCCCGGCATCACGTGGCAGTCCTTAGACCTTTCAGACAGTCACCATTTACAGATGTAATTCCACCCTTGCACCTGGATTTCTCCCTTGGGGCAAAGGAAGACTAACATCAATCAGTTCTAGGTAAAGCTAAGATCCAGGGAATGAAAGTGACTCCTGGTGGCTCTGCATGATGATTGCCAGGTCCCTGCTTGCACAGAGCAGCTGCTGGCTGCAGACCCACCCTACAGGCATATTCTCAGGAATGGCTGTGATGAAGCAATGAGACTTTTTCTGCTGTGAACTGCTTCCCCTTCCTGCCATCTCCAGGCTTCAGCCCCAGATCTATAATGAGGACATGTGTAAGCCTGCTTGGGTTACCCTAGCAAAATGCCATGACCTAGGAGGCTTGAATCCAGATTATATTGCCATTCATTATTTTACCTCAGCCCTGAAAACCAGAAGTTCAAAATCAAGGTGCCAAAGGGTTGAAAAGAACTGTCCCCCTATGCACATGACTGGAGGCATCTCATATGTCCTTCCCTTAGTATATGAATGTGACTGGGGGCGGGGGTATAGGAATTTGAGCATCTGCTTGTCAATTTTTATAAATATTTCTGTCAATTTACTGAGAAACACAGCTTGGATTTTCATATGAATCCTACTGAATCTGTCCATCAATTTTTAAAGAATTCAATTTTAACAACATTAAGTCCTCAGTCCATGAACAGTGGGCCTCTGTGCATTCATTAAGGTCTTTTTACAGCATGCCTTCAGATTTTTGAGCACAAGTTTCACTTCTGTGGCCCAGTGTCCTCAAGGATTTAATTTTTCTTGATGTTTTGCTGTTGTTCTTTCCTTTTCTATTTTTAAACTGCTATCAGTAATTTACAGAAAAGCTAATTGCTATTACCATTGCATACACACAGACTAAACGGGACTGATCGTGTATCCTGAAACCTTGATGAACTTTTTATTAGCTCTAAGCTATACTCATTTTCAGAAATTCTAGATTTTTCACTACACTGACAAACAGTCTCCCTTTTCACTTTCTGGGACTACTGAAAACATTGGGCCCACCCAGGTGACCCAGAATCCTCTGTGTTTTAAAGTCAGTTCATTAACAACTTACACCTACCTTATCCCCTCACAGCAGGACAAGATGGGTCTTTGATTGAATGATCAAAGAGATGAGAATATTTGGAAGGCACCTTTAGAATTCTATCACAAGAATTACATTGCTATGTAAGATCCTAGATCCCAGAATCTTAACATGTGCTACAAACAAGTCAGCATTGCTCCCTAAGCCCTCTGGGGTTATGAGCTGAGACATACCACCTTTATCCACATGGTCCCTCCCTTGGACTCACTCCAATGTTTCACCCACTTAGAGAAGGAACTTGGCTGCAGTCCTGGATGGAGGAAAATGCCACAGTGATGATGACTATGAAGATCCTGAGCTCCAGCTGCTAAAGGCATGGCCATCCATGAAAATTTTACCAGCCAAACCTATACAGGAATCAGAATATGCAGGTATCCCAGGGGAGTCTGAAGATGCGTGTCCATGTGCAACATTGCATAGTAATTACAGGCCCATGCTCCAGAACTCAGTTTTTTGTATGAATACAGGCTGCCCAGTAGAACTGACCCCCAGAGAGTTCCTCTGAAGTTATATGAGTGGCATATGGAGTCAAATTCTGTTCTCAATTACTGTCATTGTCAGGGCAGGGTCTGCTTGAGCCTTAGGCCTGCCTGTCCCCATGGTGGGGGCATGGGAGAAGTAGCCAGGCAGGAAGCCAGGCATGTGAGACTTGTGAGGTTAGTCTGCATGGTGTGGGAGAGCAGAGAAAGAGAAGACTGATTTGCTCGGCAGGTTGCCACCTATGAATGGACCCAGTAGTAACATCCCACTTATAAGAAGGGAGGGAGGCTGGCTTCGTGCCCACCCCTGCCTTTTCCCACATAGGGCAGTGTCAACAGGTCCTCTATGCCACTGTAAAGGGAAGGAGGAAGCACACCTCATTTCCGAGGGCCTAGCTCATAGACATGAATCTGCAGAAATTTCTTTAGGGAGAATTGTCTTATAAGCGGTGAACAGGTAAGGTGACACACACCCTTCACCCATGCACTTCAAAGGCTGAGGCAGGAGGATTCCAAGTTCAAGGTCTGTTTAAGCTGCATGTCGAGACTTTGACTCAAGTAACCACAACAAAAATAATAGTGATAACGATCACCTTGTATTCAGTACTGGAAAGCATTGACTGAATATCTGCACTGTGCTGGTCACCATCCTAGAATTTATCAAGGGATAAATAAGTAACAGGGAAATGTTATAAGAGCCCACCAGAAGAAAGAGGTAGATGGGTTTGGGTGGTGTGCTCCAGGGGCAGATATAGTAGCTCATACCTGTACTTGCACCCAAGAGGCTGAGGCAAGAGAATGGCCACAAGTTGAAAACCAACCTGAGCTATATATATAGTGAGATTCAGGCCAGCCTGAGCCCTGTGTGAGATGCTGTCTGAAATAAAACTAATAAATAAATAAATAAATAAATAAATAAATAAATAAATAAATAAATAAATAAACAGACAAGAAAAATAAAGTAGGTGGCACAGCATAAATCCTCAAGAACTGATAGCATTTCTGCTGGATAAAAAAATGAAGGCTAGTCAAGGCCATCCTTGACAGGATTGCAGTGAACCAAAGCCAGCCCGTCTACCTTAATTTCCTCCTCTGGCAGGTGCAGGCAAAACTGACTGCTTGCCTCTTTGAGAGTGGTTTGTTTTGGGGTTTTGTTGTTGTTGTGTTCTGTTTTTGTTTTTGTTTTTCTTTCACAATGATCCCTCCGGCCACTCTACACACTAGAGAGTGTTTTCTTCTGCAACAGTCCCTTGGGTCATTGTCCTCTCTTACACTTAAGAGTGCCATGTGACATGCTGCAATAAACTTGGCCTGCTTTCTACCCTCCTGCCTGAACCCCACCCCCCAAAGAAAGAATTGCTTACATAGTACCAGAACTGTGTTGACTCCATGAGTATGAGCATGCATGAACGCTTCATAAGTGGCTATGTGCCAAATCCAGCCAACTTCTAAGGCACAAGCTTACCGGCTTTCTTTTTCCACAGATACACGCTACTTCAAGGATATGATGGAGGCTCCCCTTCTGTTACCTCCCAAGGCTTCTGTTCCCATTGGGAAGCAAATCTGGAATATAGGGATGAGGCGACAGGAAGAAGTGAGTAAAGGGGGACCCTGAGGGACTGGCATGAGGAGGGCACTACCTAGCTCACAGAGATCTGCCCTAGCTCTCCTTCCCCAAGGCATCATGACAGATGATGGAGCAGGGCAGAGCAGGCTTGGGAAAGCTGAATAGTGTAACTTATGGGATCATAGGCCTTTGGAGAAGTCTAGAAGGAAAGAATATGCACATTTGCTGAAGACTTACTCTGAGCCAGGCATTGGGCCAAAGAATTTACATCTTTCCTAATTATCATTGCATTCTTCAGATCCTGAATTAAGAACACAAGTCATTTTGATAATAACACGTCATTTTGCCAAGATTCTCAGCCAAGCATTGTCAACTGTTAAACTGGGCAGTGAGAAGTCTCATGACCTTCCAAACCTCTGTAATCCCTGTATAAACCAAATAGGAATATTCTATATGCTGGCCTAAAAGGTATCTAGAGGCACTGCAGATAATTTTATGGAAAGTAAATGAAAATGCACTAGATATATACACAGGTTTTTATTTTTAATAAAATGTATAATAATTAATACTCTTAATATAGCTGTCCATAGCATAAAGAAGACTCAGCCCAGGTCTGTATGTCACTGGTGATAATATTCTGATTCATGCCAGGTCAGTATTCCCTATAGAGACAGAATCATCCAAGGAATCCTTGTCACATTAACATACCGGGGCTCCTCTCTTTTCACACTGAGTCCAGTCACAGAATAAATTGCGCTGTGGTGAGTGAGGGCTCATCAGCATACGCTGTATAGCTATTCAGTTCCCCGTGGTAGAATTTTGATTAATGTACTCACCCCTTGATGAGAACATTTTAAAGGCTTAAGGCACATGTAAAATCATGCCAATGTGTGCCCTTCCAGAAGCTCTACAAAACCATGTTCAACTCAACAAAACTGGATTTTGCTGGTGTGATCAGGGTTTTTATGAAGGGGGGGTGTCACTGTTAGAGTCCCCTTCCATGACATCATTCGCTGGTGTACTGGAGCGTACTTCTGCAAGTCCCATCAGCTCTCCTGGGTGGCATGTCCACTCTGCTCATAAGACTCACAGCTTCTCTTGATATTGACCACACATCAGCCTGTCTTGTGATGATATGACAGGATATCTATGGGAAATGGTGTAGTTTATAGCAAACCAAATTCATTTCCCATACTTCTGGAGTCTGATGTTTGAGCTGCAGGTGCCAATATCAGCAAAGGTTCTCTTTCTGCATCCTGACATGGTAGAAGGTCAGAAGACAAGGGAAAGATGGGAAGGAAAGAGGGAGAGGGGGAGGGAAGGAGAGAAAAGGGGAGCCAGAGTTGCCCTTTTATGAGATCCACTCAGTGATAAAAGACTCCTTTCCGGGCCAGGCTTAGTGGTGCATGACTTTAACCCTAGAAAAGCCCTGGTCCAATTACAAAGAACAGAAGGCACTTAGAAAGAAGATCTGAGAGCTCCTTCCTCAAACTCTGTCAAATGCGTGTACACATATGCCTTCTTTTGGAGAATATGTTTCCTAAGGAAAAACAACCTCATTTGGCTTTTTAAAAGCTATGGGAGGCTAGACAATGTGTCACACCTCTGTAATGCCAACAGTCGGGAGGTAGGAACAGGAGAACCATCAAGGTCATCCTGGACTGTATGACAAGTTTGGGGGTAGCCTGGGTTACATAAGATCCCATCTCAAAACCCAACCACAGCAGGATCTGGGCTTCCCGTCTTACAGTCCACACCTCTGCACTGCCTCATTTTCTTCTCTCTGACAGGTCACTTCAGAAGCAAAACCATGGTCCATCATAGTTAATCAACCAAGATGAGGGAGAGGGCAGACAGGGACAGATGGCTGCCAGGAGAGAAATTTCCTTATACATTAAGCAAGGCCTTAGCCTCACTTCAGAGTTATACTTTAGTCATCAGTGATGTAGCAAGAAAGTTTTCATGGCAAGTAGATTATCTTTCTCATTAACAACCTCATTTCCAAAGGCTGTTTCTTATGAGTTTTGAGATTAAACTATCTGTGGGCTGGATCTTCAATAACCCTTACAGAGGCCCTTTCTTATCTCAGTTCCTCTGGGCGATGGCAGCTATCTTGCCCTAAACTAGTGCTCCACTCAGTGAGTACTTACTGTGTACCAAGCACTGTGCTCAGCGATGGAAGCATGGAAGGGAGTCAGCACACATAATCTGAGGGAGGAGGCAGTGACCCAAGCTGCTGGTCTTGATGTCTGGGAGAATGTGCAAAGCAGTCCATTACCCATACAACATACTGCACTGTAATTGGGGGTTCTCACCAGGAAGATTTTGCCCCCCAGGACCTTTGGTATACACTAGAGACATTTTTAGTTGCTATGGTGGGAGAGTGCATATTTTTAAGCATTGTTGAAGGGAAAATGCACCACACACACCATACCACACACACATATAACACACACACACACACACACACACACACACACACACGTACACACACATATGAACACACTGTACCACACACATGCACACAAAATCATCATACACAAACACCACACACAATATATACACTGCACATACCCCAAAACATCATAACACACACATTAATACAACATACCACATCAAAACACATAGATACCAACACACTGTACCATGCACATGCACGCACACACACCAAAACACTATACCATGCACATGCACACACACACACAGAGAGAGAGAGAGAGAGAGAGAGAGAGAGAGAGAGAGAGAGAGAGAGAGAGAGATCTTCAGAGATCACCAAAACCTCACATACAAAGGCTTCTCTGTGAATACAAAGCAGAATGTGATTGCCTAGAAGAAAAGAGCAGGAACACCGAGGAAGCCCCATCCTGAAACCCTAAGCATATGGGATCCGTGTACAATGGAGAGAGCCCTGCCTGCTGCCCTAACCAAGCTGGCAATGGGGTGTGGGCAAGAGCAGTGAGTGGCTGACTTACAGGGAGACTGAACGCTGAATCTTCAGGGAGAACAATCAAAAGCCCTCCAGCACCTGGCATCCAAGCAAGTCACTGGAAGCTGATGGCTCTATGGATGAATGTAGGGTCCCAGCAAAACCCAACCAGTGCTCTATCCCAACCAGGCTAAACTGCAGAGTAGCAGCCATGGCCTTCCCAAGGCCTGGGGCTCAGAGTTCATGGGAGAGATTCAGGACCCCACCACCACCACCATCAGGAACCTTGCCTAGCATAATCAGCACCAGATAAGATAAACACTAAGGCCCAGGGCTAGCAGGGCAGAAAGGCTTTCCAAGGCCTTGGCACTTCAATGGCCTCTTCATCATCTCTGTCCCTCATGTCTTCTAATCCCACTGCCATTAACAGTTCATGACACGTGCAGTGATAACACTATTGTTGTTCTGTGTCATAGTGATGCCTCACATCCTGGGTGCATTGCCACTGTGTCTCACATTACACACACACACACACACACACACACACACACACACACACACACACCATCCACAAATGAAGCAGTATTTTCTTTTTTTGCCTCCATTTCACAGAAAGGAAACTACGGAGCTGAGTGACTCACCATGCCCTCACAACTGGCATGTGACAGAGATGAGGTGATATCACCTGAGCTATCACTAAAGGTCACACTCCAATGTGCCCGCTCAATGGCTTCCATACCCCTGGCCATGTACACTGGTCTCCATTATAATCCAGTGGCATACACCGGCTCTCTTTTCTCTATCAGAAAAATGTAAAGCTGACACTATTAAGACTCTAGATGTCCTCACCAAGCTTTCATGGCAGAAAGTGTGATTTCAAACCTGAGATTTTATGCTAAATAGCAGCCAGGCCACCACAACCTTCTCTGGTAGCAATCCACATATTTATATATATTCAGCCAATGCTAACCATGTGCATACAGCAGTCTCTAAGAACAGTGGGCCCAGGGACGTATGCATTTATACTGGGGACTCTAGCCATACAGAGTAGCTGGACACAAGGTTGTGGCATGATCAGTGTGAGCTGAGGGTGCCTCATTGTCTTTTACAGGTCTTTTACAGGGACAAGCCCATCTCCAAGGATGTCAGAAGCCAACGCTTTAAAGGTAAAGTCCCAAGAGTTTAAAATCCCATGGAGAATCTCCCCTGCTCCCGTGGTCCTGTGCTCTGCTTGTGGTCACGGGCTCCCATACACCAGGAGCTCTGCTGAATGATGCTCTGAGAAATGACTGTCCAATTCTGCTGTCATGCATGCCTCCCAGCTCTTTTACAGCCTTACCTTATTGGCAAAGAAATTGATTGTGAAAACTCATATTCTGTTCTACATCATCTGAGAAAGGCATTGTTTCAAAAACATATGGATTGCATTCAAATAAGTCATTTCTACAAGTACATGCCCTGAAAAAAAATCACAAGATAGGAATCTAATTTTAAAATGTTGATTAATGAATATGAAAATGGGCTGTAGAGCTTGAGGCAAAACAACTCAATTTGAAGACAGAAGCACAGGTACAAGCCTGAGAGGAAGTAATCAATCCCATTGATGCTGGAAGCACAAACTAAGGGCAGCCAGAGAAATTCAGTTGGATTGGATCTATTATAGGGTCTCATCATTTTCCTGTCTTATCCTTTTCCCCTGGCCCCATTGCCTCTTACGATGTCCAGGGTAAAAGATGGCAGTCATGTGATTTACAGTCCCCATAACTAAAGCCCACCAACTTCACCATTCATGTGCTTAGTGCTGAATCCCAAAGTGTCTTATACACATCACCTTTAATAAGGAAGTGCAGCACTACAGGTCCCAATGGAAGATGATGATGAACACACAGTAAGGTAATTTAAGAAAGTTTACTTACAAAGGAACTATTTACAGAAGTGTGCTGGGCACAGAGAAAGAACAAAGAAACGTGGCGTAGATCCAGGACTGACATGACCAGGGGCTGAAAGATCGCCCACCCTAGGCCCAGAGAGATGGGGAGGAGCTACTAAAAGGTCAGGGGCTGTGGTGGGGAGACCTCCCAGGGAGGGAGTTGTGCTAGCTTCCTATTGCTACAACAAAAATCTCTAAGAAGCCCAACTTCAAAGGAGCAGAAGTTGCTTTTGCTTACCGTTTCAGAAATCTCGGGCCACAGACCTAGTAACTGCTGCTTTGGGGCTGTGGTGAGGCAGAGCATCAAGTGTATGTTAGAGAAAAGTCTTATGATCTGAGGGTGGCTGGGAAGCAAGGAGAGAAGGAGGGGCCGAGCACCAATATCCGCTACAAAGACAGCCCCCCCCCCAATGACCTAACTTCCTCCTTCTCCTTCTTAGGGTCCCCAGAACTCCCCAGGCTAACCAAAGACTCTCTCCATCAGTCTTTGGTGGACATTTAATATAGAAAGGATATAAACCATGCTGGGAACCAGGGAGGTAAATGCTCAGCTCCCCCTCTGAATCCCTGTCTGGGCTTCCCAGCACAACCTACTTGGGACCACAATGCTGAGGGCAGAGTGAAGGAAGAGAAGGATGCTCACAGCAGGAAGCAGGGTGGCCAGAGCAAGGGCCTGGGCTCAGTTTCTGTCTGCCATGAGGCCTTCAGCAAGGTGTCTAACCTTCCTGAGGACAGTATACCTCTTCAAGAGCTATGGTAGGCAGGCCTGATGCCCACTCACTTCAGCTGTGGCAGCTTGGGAGGCTCAAGCAAGCACACATGGGCAGGAAGGGTTCAAATACCTCAGAAGGTGTTCTACTCCCCAATCAAAGCTCATCTGCAGCCAGCTTAGCCTCACAGGTTCCTGCCTGACTCCATCAGTCTTCTGAACCCCAATGTGATATGGAGAAGCCATCTCCTCAATGCTTCTTAGGTCCTTTAAGAACAGTTTCTCTGCCCACTCAACGACAGCTCCATTCTATCAAGTGATTTGCTTCCATTCTTAAAAACACTAAGGTGTATCGTGCAAAAGCCTCTTCCCTTTTCCCTGACAGAGACAGGGAACAGAAGCCCAAAGGCTCACAGGCCAGGGACTGATCATTCAATGTGCACGAGTCTTTGGTGACAATGGCACACTCTACTCCTGTAATGAGACATGAAACCTGGGACAAGAAACAGCAGAGCAGTCTCGGTGGCTGCTGTCCATCTCTCTGAACATGTCACTTCTCCAACATTTCATCAATTCATAAGATCTGGAAGAGAAAAGAATACCTTGAACAGTAGAATAAAGAAAGGAAGATAAAAAAAGCCCTAGGGAAAATAGACATAATCTAAGTTTGCCTCTGAGCTTCTTGGTAGTTCTCTTATGGAATATTAATTTCCCATAACAAAATAGCAGACCAATTCCTCAGGGGAGAGCATGGATGTACTCAGGGTTGTGCTGATACTGTCTGTTTTATAGAGGATACTAGCTAATGTCATGGTCTGGTGGTTTGAATGAGATGCCCCCTGTGGTCTTGGACATTTGAGACTAGGTCCCCATTTGGTGGCACTGTTTGAGTAGGTTTAGGAGATGTGGCCTCGCTGGAGAAAGTATGGCAAGCTTTGACAGTTTAAAGACTCAGAGCATTTCTAGTCTCTCTCTCTCTCTCTCTCTCTCTCTCTCTCTCTCTCTCTCTCTCTCTCTCTCTCTCTCTCTCTCTGCTTTGTGCTTATGACTCAAGATGTCAGCTCCCAACTAGCTGCCCCAGCCACAATGTGCCTGCCACCTCCTTACCATTATGGACTCTCATCCCTCTGGAACAAAAGCCCAAATCAGCCCTTCCTTCAGTAAGTTGCCTTGGTCATGGTGTTTTAGCACAGCAATAGAAAGGGGACTAAGATACATGGTCACAAAGATCTAACTGCTTTGTAAAATGGGCCCCCAGCATCATCTAAGGCCATCACTGGAGACAGTAACTCAAGGACAGCAAGGCTCACTGAGGGCAGGAGAGGATTATGGGAAGTTTCTTCCATGGCAGTTACTGCCTGACCATAGTCCTTCCCCACACTTCTAGAACTGATGGACCTCCAGCATCATCCTGGACACTCAGGTACTACAGACAGAAGGGAGGAAATCAATACAGACACCCCTGCTTTTAGGATCAGGCACCCAGAGGGAAAATGCTAGGGTGGTTTGTGTTCATTACAAAATTCTGTATTTTTGATGCCAACACATATTCTCAGATAATTTATTTATTCTCACAAAATGTCACAGGAAAAAGAAACCACACCCATTGATTCAGGAACAGAGGGATTTTATGCAGATATTTTTCGTCAAGTTGAGCAGTTACATTTTTATGTAAATGTATGTCTCCTGTCATTTTTCCTCCAATCACTGTCTGGAAGCATCAAATTTCAAGACCTTATCTTCCCTGAAGGTGGAAGGTTTTCTTTCCCCGCGCCCCCCTCCGGGAAATGGGCAAAAGTTTTATTTAGAGGTAAAGTTGTTACAGTACTAGCTGTGAGTGATGAACCACCAGCAATAACCACAGATCCGGAGGACACTGCATTTCCAAGGACAGCTGTAACTTTCCAATAGACACAGCTTAGCTTCCTGGGAGAGGCGAAGCCGAGAACACGCGCAGCTCAAATGTGCATCTCCTCGCCTGGGATGCAAACTAAGCTCAAACTCTAAACCAATTTTCTTTGAAGTGACATGCATACTCTCTTCAGGAAATCACTTTATAAAGAAATACAATAAACCACCCAAGAAAAAGAATTATGCTCAGGCAGCTGAACGGGTAAATCCAGAAATTCAAGCATGGCTGGTTGAAAGTAGCAAACCAGATTCCACACAGTGCCCCCGGAGGGATCACGTGAGTTTGCTTTTTAAAGGGACTCAGATGCTGAAGCAATCAGAGGTCACCTTGGAGTTAATCTGGCTCAAGGCCCTGGTGGCCCGGGCTGAGGTACAGCTCAGGGTCAGCCAGCAAGTAATCAGAGCTTAGATCCGTGTAGCGTTCACCAGCTGCAGATGTTCCCTGGGTCTAAGGACATTGGCCAGTGTTGGTGTTCAGTCATCTGCAGCTTCCCCTGTTCTGACGGCCCCCTACTCCAAACTGTTCAGTCCAAGGGGAGAACAGGTGGGTGGTACTGCCCTCTCGTGGCTGTAGGTGGTAACGCACAACACACGGGAACTGGGTATCCCATAAACTGTAGTTAAAAATAATAAACCTTAGCTCATAGAGAAATGAAAGACTGACTCGTGTTTGTTTAGATTTAAATTTATTTCAGTTACAACCCACAGTCCAAAATCAACACAGGTATCGGTACCACGCTGGATTCAAAAACTAATGCTTTAAACTGAACATCACTCATTAATGGGACTTTAAAAAATTCTTTTCTTGCTGGGCGGTGGTGGTGCACGTCTTTAATCCCAGCACTCGGGAGGCAGAGGCAGACGGATTTCTGTGAGTTTGAGGCCAGCCTGGGCTACAGAGTGCATTCCAGGAAAGGCTCCAAAGCTACACAGAGAAACCCTGTCTTAATATATATATATATATATATATATATATATATATATAAAATTTTTATATATATAAAATTTTTATATATATATAAAATATAATATATATATATTTCTTAAACTAGCATACAAAGAAATGGTTTTAATTGTGGTACTTTCATGCACATGTGTCTTATAGTTGTTACTAATTATTCCCCCTCCGCCAAGCCCCTTTCCTCCCTGTAATGCCCCCTTCTGTGTTGCTCTTTCTTCCCCTTAAGATCTCTTCTCCCTCCCTCATGGTCTCCTTCATAGTTCCATCACACACATACAGGCTAATGCACACATGCACACTCACATACACATCTGCACACACATATGCATACACAAACACATATTCATACATGCACTCACAATGCACGCATGCACACATTTAAATCTAGATGCTGCCTGACTTGTTTTGCTTAACATGGTATCTTCCATTTCTATCCATTTATGCAAGTGAGAGTATCCTGGTTTCCTTCATGGCTGAGTAATATTCCATTGTGTGTATATACCACAATGTCACTTAATCTGATTCCATAATTTGGCTGTTGAGGATGCTGCCACAATGAACACAGGCACTGTTTGGGCAAATGTTCTTCAACCCATAAAAAAAGGCTTTTGAACATAAATCCCTTCCATCATTCTCCCCTCCCCCATTTCTCTCT